AGCCTGAGATATGATATACCTTCAATCGCCCAATCAGGCAAAAAAAAATGTGGTACGATTGCCAATGAGACAATTCTCCACTAAAAGACAATGAAAGTTATAGGACTACCCTCTCACATGCAAAAAATCTATATCTTTACTAATGGCATGCGTTGTATTTACCTTGGACAACAAAGGATCATTAAAGTTGAACTAACACAACAATTAAAAAAGTTCAGAAATAAAACGACACAATTACACAGAATGAAACTGTAGATTTACTGACACAATGTATCATTTGAACCATAGCAGTATCGAAGAATTGTCTGCTGTTCGGACGGTACCCTGAGTGATTGATATAATAATAATAGGGGTGATATTGTTTATCAAAAGTTAAATTGATGTAAGTATCATACGGAAGCCCATAGGGGACCTAAAAATAAATAATATTATATCATTATCTCAATATATATATTGTTATCTCGATATAATTATATCGTTATCTCGATATTTATATACATGCAGTTAAGGTGTGTTATGTAACTTGTTTTGCAAATAACTCAAAAACTTATACAGATATCAAAATTCTAGCAGAGGGTAAAATTGATCAGTACATAATGATCTGCCTCAAACTATATAAATATCGAAATAACGATATAATTTTATCGAGATAACGAAATAAATATAAGGATATAATTATATCGAGATAACGAAATAAATATATCAACATAACGATATAAATATCGAGGTAACGATATAAATATATCGAAATAACGTTTTTATATATACTCCTATATATGTACGAATATGTGAAAACTGTTGTTTCTTATTTGTGTTTGTAACTATGTATACTGTATTGTTCATTATATTTGTAAAAAATAATATTATCATGATATTATATTATGCTCCTTGTGAGCCCATTTGATGGAAATAAAGCATCTTCTTCTTCTTCTTCTTCTTCTTCTTCTATATTGAGATATATTGAGATAACGATATACTATTTTTTTAGGTCCCCTATGGGCTTCCGTAGTATCACGAAGCCCGTGGTTCCACATCAAAACATTTTTGCAAATTTACGACACAAGTTATGGGTAAAATTCGCCTTTCAAGGGCAATAATTTTTTTTTTAAATTGGACCTACAATTTCGGCTTTGTTTACCTTTTTTCTAGATCTTTCATTGTTGATCATTTTTGCTGTTTACAGTTTCACTTTCTGTCTTATAATGCCACATTTATGTTTAATGTGAAACTACTCCCATCAAGGTGAATGAATTTTTATCAAATGGCTTATTGAATAATGTAACTGTACCAAATATAAGGTTCCGTTGATAAACCAGTTAATTAATTAATGGATTTTAACTTTCTCCGATTTGTATATTATTGTGTTTTTATTCAAATGTTTTTGCGTTTCACGAAGAAAACATTGCGTTTACCATCATTGCAGTGGAACTGATTTTGTTTACATGCAACTCCACTACTGGTTGAATGGATTTCACTGAAAATAAAATTAACCAATGCATACCTCCTATTATATTTTTATTAGATTAATTCATATATGTTGCTTTCTCAAAGCACTGCGTCGGGCATCTCCGAATACACGTATAACTACTTTTTTTAATCAAAAAGTGTCGTTGAGCCTCTTGAAATGATTTTTACTTTCAACAGAAAGGTATAAAATACCGCATTACACCTTATATTATTGTTATGTCTCCGACAGAAACTAAGTGACTCTGTATAATATATATTCTTCTAAACTGTATAGTGGATTTTGGTGAAAAATTAACAGATTCGTTGTAAAAATTTCAAATAAAAATGATTTTTTTTAAATCTTGATATTTGTACTGTTTTCTATACCAAGGCATTCACTATCATTTTAATTCAATTGATTTAAGGGTTTCCAATAGCAAGGAATGTTATCTACAGACTTTTCAGACCAGTTCACAATAGAAAAGATGGATAGGAGACAAGATCTATACTAAAGCTTTGCTTTGTTTACAAAGTACTCAATGCCATCACTTTGGGCAATATCCTTCACAAATTAGTTTACTCGAAAATGCCTCCCTTCTTTAAAGATCGTCTGTACCTATCATTTATTGTACTTATAACAAACAATTGCAACTAAAATTTAAATAACAAACACGTGTTGCAGGATCTCAATATTGGCGACTTCAAGTCTTAACCTCCTGATTGTGTCTGTGCTAGTTCCCCCATTCATATATAATCCGGCTGGCTACGTTGTTACTGGTAACCTGAACATTGTCAATAATGACTGTGAGTTTGTTGATACAATAAACTCATCATAGATACAAATTGAAGGATTCAAATTTTGTACGCCAATCGCGCTTTTGGTCTACAAAAAGACTCATCAGAGTGGCCCGCATCAAAAAATTTAAAAAGGCCAAATAAAGTACGAAGTTGAAGAGCATTGGATGAGGACCTAAAATCCGAAAGGTTCTGTCAAATACAAAGTAGAATCAAAAATGTGGATAGGTCTATGAATACATATGCTACGCCGATCTTTAAAGACCCTAACGTTACTAAGCACCTGTCCTAACCCCATGGTTAATATGTTGTACCCGCAGGTAACGCCACAAACAACATCGTTTTTGTGTGAAAATCATTTTACATAAACTGGAATACGGTATTGACAATTCACTTGGAAACTCAGCATATATCTCACAACACTTACCAAGGAGGAAATCCTGAATAATCATAATCCGTCTTTCTGTGTTCCTTTGGAACTTTAACCAAAGATGAGGAACTGGATCTTCCTTCACTGTATTGGATACTTAAATGGTATAGTGTCCCTACAAACAATTTTGCTGGATCTTCCAAGTGCGCCACGAAATTTTTTTCAAAATTATTAAAATAAATTTTATCAGCAATCAAAGCTGGGCATCAGAGTTATTGTGAAACTACCTACCCTAGGAGTGGCGCGAATCAGATGTGGATACTAAAAAAATTCCAATTTATCTGATAGAGTAAATACAATCCAAGTCTCTTTCCTCTTGCAGTTGTATTAAAACATGTGATTGTTCTACCCTGTACACAAGTGTTCCCCATTCCAAACTAAAACAGTTGGTCCGGTTTTGTTTCATAAAACAGATCTAGCCATATATATACAAGCACCTCGTCTTAGTGAGGGATAAATCGTACTTTCAAACAAAATCACTCTGATTCAAACAAAAATTGTTCTGAAAACGAGATTATAAAGATGCTTGATTTCTTGATTGACAACATATTTGTTATGTTTGGAGGACGCGATTTTCAACAAACAGTCGGTATTCCTATGGGAACCAATTTTGATGATGTCCTCTCACTAAATAATTCAAAGTCTTGTGACTATCTTGACCGCATCTATCCCATCGAGCTTGAAACAGTCTGCCCCATATCTTGAGTAACATCTAGAAATTGACAATGAGGGTCGGTTGAGAAAAAAAATTATGACAAAAGAAATGTTTTAGCTTCCCAATTATGAACCTTCCGTTTCTGTGTAGCAGCATTCCAGCAGCGCCTGGATGTGGGGTATATATCTCCCAGTTGGTGCGATATCCAGAGCTTGCATTTTCTATCAGGATTTCCTTCATATAGGGTTGCTGTTCAAAAAGAAGCTATTAAATCATGACTTTTAATTGGTTAAGTTGAAATCATCACTTTGAAAATTTTACGGACGAAATAACGAGTTGTTTGACAGTTATGAAATATCTGTTTCAAAGATGACGACGGATATGTTCCAATTGTCGTAACCACAATCCCATCCTCTTTTCCTCGAATGTGATCTACCGAATTAGACTTATCACCAGGTTTGTACTTCCATCAGCCACACGAGGAGTGCCACACGTGAAGCAGGATCTGCTTACCCTTCCAGAGCACCTGAGGTCACCCCAGTTATTGGTAGGGGTTCGTATTACTCATTCTTCGATTTGTGTTTTGTGTACTGTTTGTCTTTTTGTCCTTTTTCTTTTCTTGCCATGGCGTTGTCAGTTTGTTTTCGACTTGTGATTTTGAATATACCTTTGGTATTTTTCGCCTCTATTGTTTCACATTTGTGTTAATATAAATCATAGCGACGACATTAATAAACAAAATTCACCACCAATCAATCAATATGACATCCTTATACTATTTAGAAGTATACATATTACGACTCTTTAGTACAATTTGCTTTTTCAGTTTTCATTGCTATCAATTAGAACCTTGCATAACAAATAATAATTTAGTGCGTCGATCTTTCTCCCATGCTGTATAAGATTTTATTTTATAATGGATAAGATCGTTTTTCTGGTATAGGTTTGAGAATCGTCTTTGTCTTTGTGTTTTTGTCTTTTGTTTTTAGTAAAATGTCATCTAAAATTGTAATTACCCTCCAAGTATCTTTAAACAATGTAATATCTGAGAAAGAAATATATACATGTAATAGTCTTATTATGTAAAACGTTTAAATATATAAAATGCTCTACTCTAAACACTAGTTCAACTACTGGAGCAGGAAATGAATATTTTTAACGAGTGCCTTGAGCGCGATCTTGACTTTCTATACAAATCGTGGTGTCGAATTTGTAGTTTTCTGTGTAATGTTTCACAATCTGTCAACCATCGTTTGTCTTTTCCTCATTTTATTTTAGTCATTGTGTTGTCTGCCCATCTTCGATTGATGGCCATACTCGCTTGCTTTCTTTGTACTGTCTACAAATTTTCATAAGATAAACCATTCATCATGCGTTTATAAATATATGTGTAAATATATATAGACTACAACATATCATTTGTAGAATAAATGTTAAGACATATTTCATGGCACGACGTTAATTAAATAATTATTTAATTAATTCAGTGCATATTAATTGTCCCTTGTGGTTAGACGATAACACAATAATGTCAAAGTTTAGTCAATAAATATAAATTTATATGGCTACTTTTATTACGTCATCAATTTTTCTCTCTCAACAGACCTGCACTTTTTGAGATAAATACTTAGAAAACAGCTAAACAATCAGAGGTCCAGTTAACAGTTCAAAGCGTGACATCTATTTCATGAGCTGCATACAAAATAGACTTGTGTCTCGTTCATCACTCCGGAAGTAGCACTTATAAGCAACGCTGTATGTAATGTATATTATAAATAAATGGAGTGCGTTATTAACTGTTGTTGGAATTTTAAGCTTCCATACTACCGATTCCCAGATACGGCCGGGAGGAAAAATGACACCAAAATTTATAAACACAATTCTAAAGTTACATAATGACTACCGGAGAAGTGAAGGAGCATCCAATATGAAACAACTGGCAAGTATTGTATTCAAAATCATTCATACATTTTTTTCTGAGACTTTTAGCGTTCAAATGTTCTCTGCTTCTACTTTCAGTAAGAATCTAACAAACAAAGTACCACGAGTAAATCGATTAACAAAAAGCCAGCTCATTTTCGTTGGCCTTTTACAGTAATTCCAAATGAAAACCTTTACATGTGGTTGTCGTCTCGTTGTAAGATTTGTTTTTCGTGTATTTATTGTATATCCCAACAGTAAGACTCAATGTACAAATCCCTAGTTAGACCTGTAGATGGACATTTCCGACTTCCTTTATTTGTCTGAAAATTGCCTCATTGGCAATCCGATTGTGACATTTTGACTGAGTGAGAAATCGCATGGCGGGTCATGCATGCTTACCCTGTCGATGCGTCTCGCTCTTTTTGGAGTTCATGCGATTCCCTCCGTTTTTTGTTTGTTACCTTGATTTGTCTCTTCCTAATCGATTTACGAGACTTGAACCAGAGTAAACTACTGTCGCCTTAATTTACTACATAATCGGACTTTATTTTTGTATGGCTGTATGGGAAAGTATTTTGTTTAGGTTCTGTAGTATTTTGTGTGTCTAAATGTAAATTCGTCCTAATTTTGTACAGGTTTACCGCTATTTTGGTCTTGTAAAATAAAAACAATCGGTCTACATCTTTTAAGACAGGTATGCAATTTATTTTTGAAGACTTTTAATGTAAATGTATGTATGATGTGATTTATCATAATATTATTCCAACTGTTCTAGAATTACATGTGGAATGATATTTGCTTCTTTTTGAACATAAGGGGAAACAACTCAGAACATTCCTTTTTAAAAAGGATTTTACAGTACAACAAAAATATCTTTCTATTTTATGAAAGCATATTAAAAGAGCAATCTATCGCATAGATGTTTTTCTATTCACACAACGGTTGGTTTTCCATGTATAATCTTTGCAACATCTTTACAATCTGTATCATAAAAAACCTCCGTGCCGTGAACCAAACTCTATATTATATTTTTGAAAATTGTATGATATAAACAGATATTTGTTGGTTAATATATTCTCAGTTGCCAAATTTAAGAAAAAAACATGTAAAATTTGCGATAATTTTTCCAAATTGCCAACAGTAATATGAGGCACTGAATAGTTTGAGTTTATGCATTCATGTGAAATTCCAGTTACCTAAAAAAAAACAGGAAGAAAATACCAAGGGGGCAATCAAAAACCTGGTGTCGATTAAAAACAAACAACACCGTGTTAGAAGCCAAAAACGGCGAAAATACAAACAAGAGTCAACAAATCACTTTACAGATAACGAAAGATTGAGGAACACGAACCGTACAAAACATCGGGGTGAAATAAGCAGTTCCTGCTCCACCAGTGGCATCTATCGCAATACTCATGGCAAGTAAAATTCTCTGATAAGTCGCATTCGGTGACGTAACAATCGATGGAAGATGACAGAAATGTGGCAACGACAAGTGTAACATATCCGCAGTCAACTGTTGCAAATATTCCAAATGACTTCAACTTTACTATCTGGAACCCATGGTACCCACGATAGCTTCATTGTAAGCAGCAACACTCTATCAAGAAAATCATGATAGGACACACATATCCTGAAAAGCGTATCAACTGGGATATATATACTTCAACCTATAATTGTTTACTTTTTACACATTGTGACTTGGATGGATAGTTGTCTCATTGGCACTCATACCACATTTTCTTATTTATATCTATGTGAAGAGGTGCCGCTGAAGCTTTTCTCATGACTTAGCGTCCGTCGTCCATCGTCGTCGGTCGTTGTCGTTAACTTTTATAAAAAATCTTCTCTTCTGAAACTACTCCCCTAGATTTTATAAAACTTGGCAATAATCATCATTAGAGTAGAAATGTTCAGAATGTTAAGATCTACCTGCTGTCCATTTACATCAATACTGTCAAAGGACTTCTTACAGTAGTTATTGCCCTTAAATGTTAAATTTCACCGATTTTTTTTCATTTTTGCCTATTATTTTGAAAACTATAATAGATAGAGAGGAACTTTAATAAGAAAAAATGATCAAACAGACAAGGTCTACAAATAAGTCAAACATGGCCGAAATTATCCGAAGACTCCTTATTGTACGATTTTTACCATTTTTTGCGTTTTTGTTTAATATCTTAAAAAAATCTTCTCCTCTGAAACTACTGGGTAAATCTAACCAACCTTGACTATAATCATTATTATGGTATATAATTTTAGAAATATGTTCAATGACCCCTTCTGCAAAAACATGGGCGACATGGCTAAAAATAGAACATAGGGGTAAAATGCAAGTTTTGTCTAAGATCTTGAAAACCGCCATGAATAGAGAAAATCTGACGGGACAGAACTGTTCAGATTGTTAAGATATACCTGCTATTCATCATGATGATTTAAAACAAAGTGGCAGTTGTTGAAGATGCAGGTGAGCGACACAAGCTCTTCGGAGCCTCTAGTTCTTGAGAAACTCCTGTCGAAAGTGTGCCTCTTAAGAAGAAAGGAACAAGGCGGCAAGAAGAGAAGAACAGCTGGTTGCCATATGAATCAATTGTCTGTTGAAAAACACGTCCTCCAAACGTAACAAATGGGTTGTCAATCATAAAATCATACATCACGGTGATGTCAGTTTCAGAAAAAGCTGATGTTTACACTTTCTGGTTTTTCATCCTTTATTGCAAGAAGTGCAAGCGAAATTACCTCACCACTTGTTAGCCGTAAGCAATGAATAAAGCAATCTATATTTTGCTCAATAACGCACCATAAAATTAAGAATAACTTTTCCATTATTTATTTTTTGATCATATCCTAGATGGATATCTTTTAAAGTAAACCCCATAAGCAATTCATCATACTGATAAATATTAAAATAATGCAAAATCTATCTATCATATTTGACATGGCATAGCAGTAGAAGACAATTGAGAATCTGAATTCGTGATTCAAAGAAAGGCAAAACCTTCAGTTAAAGAAACACTGAGATTGATAAATATAAATGTTGTAGCATGGTTCGTTTATTTACGAATTTTAAAACAGAAGGAAAGCATAAAATATACCATACAACACAGTCACCATCAAATTACATGCATATCATATTTAAAGGATAATATGCAGGTTTATAAAAATGTATAACCTCTTGTGTATAGCGATGATCAGCGATACATGTATGCATCTGTATAGTAAGTTTTCGTTTCCTTAAATAGAGATGGAGTCGAAAATTGCAGAATGACGCACAAGCCTGGGCAGGTAAATGTAGGTATGCACATGCATATGGTAAATGGGGAGAGAACGTGTTTAAAGCTGAATCTTTTTTGCCGGATGATGTTCTGATAGAACGGGCTGTCAGTGAATGGTATTTTGAGAAGATGAGCTGGAAATTTACACCTGATTGTTCTGAGGCTTGTCATTACACGCAGGTATGTCTTTTTCCTTAAGAACTAGTTTAGTTTAGTGCAAGTTTTGTTGACCTGTCGACATTTTTATCGACCAAGCAATAATGCGATATAATAATTATGACAATGTTGTCAATTTAATGTCTGTATCAACTCTTAACTGTATCATTCATAGAAGTTCATAATGATCCATTATATCAAATAAAATCTAAAATCCTCGACTATATGAATTTGATGTAAATATCTCTTTTTAATGAGCTTAGTCACAAATTGCTTTCACAAATATTCAATAATGTAATAAAAAGTCGAATATTTGTGGAAATTTCCGCTAAATTATAATGATCGAATTGCTTTATTTCTCTGATCATTTATTTTTATTTATTATTAATATAGTACAAATGCAAAAACAATAAAATCTGACGAATTTGTTAATTTCGATTAACATATAAACAAAGAAATAATTGATTATTTTGTATGTTAATAAGAATGAATCAGGTCTGTCTAATACGTCCAAAATTTTGAGAAATCTCTTATTAAAACTATGAAAATAATAAAACTGAATCAGCATTATAATTAATTTATTATTGTGTCACAAACTTATATAATTATACTTAATTGTCTGAAAACAATATTCTCATTCCTAACTTTCTAGTCCAATAAGAAACAACTAAACGACAACAATTGTATGTTTTGTGGTGAGATATAATATTTGATTACCTGACAATTTTCCTCTATTTATTTTTTGTTTTCACGTAAATTAATTTTGAATTAGTTATATGTATGTTGATTGTTCGCGATTGTTCTTGTCTACGTTAATTATTGAAGGTTATGGTATTAAATTTTTTCATACTAAGTATTGAATTTTAACAAGATTATTGAAGATCTACATGATTAAAAACAACTTTTCATTAATGTTTACAATTAGACAGGTACATGGGATAACGAGAAACAGACTGAAATAGTGTATACCATGTGACTTTTTGAACGACAGTATAAAATATTGTTACATAACTGTTATAGACAAAACATACAATACACATAACATTACATGATTAAAAACAACTTTTCATTAATGTTTACAATTAGACAGGTACATGGGATAACGAGAAACAGACTGAAATAGTGTATACCATGTGACTTTTTGAACGGCAATATAAAACATTGTTACATAACTTTTATAGACAAAACATACAATAAACATAACATATAATACTATTTGTCCCATGGGATTTTTTTTTGTCCCATAGGATAAAATAAATCCCAAGGGACTACAAGAATCCCATGGGACTGAAAAAATCCTATGGGATTTACTCAAAAAGCTCTAGACTATAAAGTTCTTTTTCAATTTGAATTTGGGATTTTATAATCCCATGGGATAAAATAAATCCGATGGGACTGCGAAAATTCCATGGGACTGAAAAAAATCCATGGGATTTTGAGTTATAAAATCCCATGTTTTTTAAATTCAAATTGCAAAAGATCTTTACAGTCAGGAAATTTAAAAAATGAAAACAACACATTAAGAAACTTGGTATTTGATAAATGCCATGTTATTCCGGTGGATTACATTTGCGCGCATTACCATTACATTTGCGGGCAAAAATCATTACACTTGCGCGCAGCTTTTGATTACATGTGCACGCATTCTTTTACAGGTAAACTCAGGTAAATACAGGTAGATTACACTTATTTATTTATTTAACTGTTATTTTAGAGCAGGATAAGTCCGTTTTACTATGCACATGCACTTAGTCCTGGAAATATATACAGATAAAAATGTAGAAATATAGCAAATATAAAGATTAAAAGTACCATTGGTGTCAACATGATGATCGTAACTTCAATTACGATCATCCCAATATGGCGGACACAAATTCAGGTAAATTTTATAAGGCCGATTTCTCCACTTTAACAGCTTATTTTCAGATTTGTATTATGTCAAGAAACAACTGTGAGTTAAAATAGCACTCTTATCGACTTTTCCGAAGTGACCGTCTTTGATTTATGAAGAGAATGTTAGAATTCGCAGCAAAATCGGTAGTAAAATTCGTGTGCGCGTTTAATAGAACGCTAGAAAAACATACTTAAATTAAATACTTGAATTATATAGTTTATTCTATGTTGTACTGTTATACCACTGTTCAGGGTGAGGGGAGGGTTGGCGCCTTCAAACATATTTAATCCCGCTTCATTCTATATGTGCCTGTCCAAAGCCTGTAATTGAGTGCATGGGTTGCCGTTTTTTCTCTTATGGTTAATGTTGGTTCATGTCTGTCATATGTGTTTTTCGTAAATCATTTTTTTATAAGTTTACTCAATTGAATTGTTTTATATTTTTCATGTCGAGGCCTTTTATAGCCGAAAATACGGTATGTTTTTTTTTTCATTTTTATATTAACGAAATATTTTCAAACATGAATAAAAACAAAAATGGCAGGAAGAGGTGCTCCAAAAGGTCCGAAAAAAACAAGTCACAATTTGTCTTTCCCTATTGTTATTTTTTTCTTTTTAGAAAGGTGATGTTCCTTTGGCACCGTTTATATATCCCAACTCGTTCGGTATGCCCTTGTCTGTAGTAACGTTTTGGATTTTAATGAACGTAAACTATATTTTACTGGTGAATTATTAAGTCATGAATTTCGTTACCACAACTGCATTATCTAAAACCCTTACTTAATTCTTCTATAGATATAAAGATTTGATTTTAAAAGGTTTTGCTGTACCTGTAGAAAACTTATTTCAAACTGAATAACACAGAAACACTTTTACGATGATGTTGCTTTACCGAGCCCGGAAATTAAGATACGATCTGGGTAAACTTATGAATACTTAAAATAAATTTATTCCAAAAGGTTACCAATTCAACACTGGGTGTAATTAGATCTTTGCATATTGTTATTTTTTTGTTTTTTTTGGTATTGGTATAAATATTGATTGTGTTATCAGTAAATTAAAACCATACTAAATGTTATTGTTTTACACATATTCACGTTCACGATACTACAATCTGTCGATACCTATATTTTGGCATTGTACAAGGTCATGTTTTTCTTTGTCTGTTAATGACGTCTTTACACTAAATCCATTGGATGTTGTGTGTGTAGTGATTGACATTTTAGTCTTAGAAACGTGTTTTTTTATTAGTTGTTATTGGCTTTGAACTGGATGTCAATAACTGCGAGTACTCTCAGATCTGTACTATGTGTCTTTTTTGTTGTTGCTATGGATGTATAAATACCCTGCCTCGTTCGGTTTGTGTTTTTCTTTGAAGTTTTTCTGCTTTTATCGATCTAAAAAGCTAAGCATTTTTCAACTGATTTTTATAGTTTGTTCTTATATTGTTCTGTTACTCCACTGTCAACTAGGGGAGGACTGAGCGTTCACAAATATGTTTAACCCCGCCACATTCGTTATGTGCCTGTCCCAAGTCATGAGCCTGTAGTTTAGTGGACTGGTTGTCGTTGGTTCATGTCTGTCATATTTGCCTTTTCGTAATTGTTTTATTATAAATTAGGCCGTTGGTTTTCTCAATTGAATTGTTTGATATTTTTTCTTGTCTCATTGTTGAAAGTTGTCTATAATTGCTTACATCCACTTCATTTGAACTTTGGAAGATAGTTGTCTCATTAAGAATCATACCACATCTCTTTATGTTTTATGAGAAAAGTCAACTTTAACAAAGATGGTTTGGAAACAATGCTAACAGCTTTTCAGCAGAACAAAATGCTGTTACTGGGGACATTTTCCGATTCTGTAATCACGGACAATCTCACGGTCGTCTAGGAAAACCAATGGATTTGTTCGATCTCTGAAGACCCTTTTGGATATCCTATGTTGTTCTCTTGAACGCACATTGCACATTGAAAGCGCAATTTTATCAACTAAGAGAGAGAAAGGGGTGCCCCTGACCACTCTTCTTAGAATTTATGTTAAGTTTTCAATAAAAAAAGAATGCTGATATACTTAAAATTTGCCAAGAGTAATCAAAGACGATCTTAAGTTGATTATCGACGTTTGAGATACCCAGTCGATAACATTAAAACTAAGAGAGCGTTCCGAGAGGAATAAAGAGTACTCTTAGGGATGCGAGTGGGACATGAATTTTAAGGGCTTTCAATCATTCTAAAATTACTTCAAGATACACTCTTAGCAGATAAGATGATCTTATGATAAGATGATCTTAAGTACTAAGATTGCTTCATGATACCAGCCATTGGTTGCTTTTCCATCATTTAGTAGGAAAAAAACATTCAATGGCAATACTTAAAAAGATGTTTCTTGACATAATGCAAATCTGAAAATAAGCTGTTAAAGTATATATAAAATTTACCTGAATTTGTGTCCGCCATATTGGGATGATCGTAATTGCAGTTACGATCATCACGTTGACACCAGTGAAGTACTGGAGTCAGTTTCACAAAAAAACGTACGACTAAGATTGATCGTAAGTAATTGTTCATGACTTACGACAAGACAAAGATTTGTCGTAAGTTTTTTTGTGAAACCGATTCCTGATTTTACATTTCGTAACGTGCTGAATATTTGAAGCCCACTGCTTTAAGAAACACAAAACACAAAAATACATGGATGTGCTGAATAAAATTGCTCATTGTAGTGCGCATGGAATGATTCCGGGCTGTTTGTAGTACGCCTAGATTCTGCTGACGGTAGTGATGTTCAAATACTTGGAGGAAAAGGGGAATCTAGTGAAATACCTTTGCAAATATTTACGGTGCATCGCCCTGAAATATCCCCTGACTTAAGGGTTCTTTTGATACGGAAAGAAAATCCATCATACACTAATGAATTTTTCCTCCGACTTGATTTTGACATACGAAACTCCATATTTGTTAATTCACTATTCGGTAGTACAGAATACTACATACTCTGAAATATTCGCAATTAAGTTCCATGTATGTCTTAAGCTATTACGGGATTTCTCATGATCATTCTATATCTTTTTAGAATTCCATATGAAAAAATATATGATTTAAATTTACAAATATGTTCAAAATTCATAATAACCATAGTAATATTGATCATGAATTATCTTTTTTACCTGTGTTACCTGTAAAATGAATGCGCGCAAATGTAATTAAAAGCTGCGCGTAAACGTAAAAAAAGTTTAATCCCCAAATATGCGCAAATGTTATGCGGCCTGTTATTCTGCACATTTTGGTTATTTTCATGAAAGGGTATCTTTAAGAAAAGGTGGCGCCGGATTTACAAATCAGTGCTTTTTGCAAATTTAAAGTGTTCAGTGTTAATAACAATATGCTTAACATCATTATATTAATATCTCATTGATATTAGCGACCTTGAAAAAAAATATAAGATAATTCGAAAGTACTTATGATTTGACCCAAAACGCCTCCTCTCCCAAAAAATAAACAGATGTCTTACTCTATCTCTTTCTTGTGAGTAAGCGGGAATGAAAGATTCTTCAAAAGTGGGCGAAATCGATATAAGCAATTTTCTTATCCCAAGGACCATAACTTTCGAAACAATTACACAACCATAATGAAACTCACACATTTGATTACTTAAAAACAGCAACGTCTAAAATAACTGTATAGAACAATAAAAAATTATTTATTTTGGTTCCAGTCATGTTCATCTCACATAACATTACTATGGAAAATTCCATATCATACGTTATTGCTTTATTTTCATTAGGTTGTTTGGGCAGAATCGGAAGAAATAGGATGCGCCTTCAAACGTTGTACAACTTTATTTTTGACAGAAGAATTTATACCAAATGGTTGGATGTTGGTTTGTTATTACAATCCACAGTATGTATAAAAGTAAAAAAATTGACACATGCTATGAAATAACTTCATGACCAAACATTGCATGTGGAAGAATAGTTTAATAACGACTAGTAAAAAAGAGGAAAAGATATGAAGGTGGTAATAAAAAAAACCCAGAAAAAACCATAGCTAAGAAAAAAAAATAGAAAAATAGACGAACTGATCACCATGCAGTAAACAAAAACCATATAGTGAGCAATATAACCCTAACAAAAACCGAGTGCAAACTCAGGTGCTTCTGAAGGGGTAAACAGTTCCCATTCCACTAGTGCCACCAGTCGTGTTGCTTATTGCAGGTAAAATCCAGTGTTAAGTCGCATTCAATGCTGTCACATAAAAGAGTGAAACAAGAACGGACTGTGGCTACGATAAGATGGAGATTTCCTTTATTATCTTCGTCCTACCGTTGACCTACTTTGGTTAAATAGATTCCTTGTAAGTAGCAAATATCTATCAAGGAAATCATTATAGGAAAAGCCATCCAAGAAAAATCGTATCAACTTAGAGATATATCCTTAATACGCAGGAAGGACTGGAATAATGCTGCATATAAGTGAAAAGATCACAATTGGACAATTGAAATAATCTCTTGTCGTAAAGTATAGCTCTGAACCGATTCTCACTATCAATTTCTAGATGTAAGTCAATATATGAAGCAGACCTAATTGTATCTGTAGTATCCTTTTTTCAAATTCAATTGGATAGATGCGATTAATAGGAGCACCAAACTTTACATTATTCAGTGAAAGGACATAGTTTATATAGCAGCACTTGAAGTTAAAGGATAATGATATTTTATTTTCATTCCTCTTGAGCCCTTGTGTGACAAAAGAACAAGTCAGAGGGAAGAGGAGCACAGTTGGTTTCAATAGGAATTAAAATATTAGTTCATATAAACACAAATATTATTATCGTATATATAAACATCATTAGTCGTGATGAAATATAATATAAACCGAAAAGAGTTAAAAAAAAATTTTTTTTTTTAAATTTAAGACTAAACGTCAGCAGGCTCTTGGAAATGTGTTGCGAACAAACGATGTCAAACATGCACACCCACACTTAGTTTCACATTTTCTCTCTTTGGAAATAAACTCATCATATATACCAGGATTTAAATTTTGTACGCCAGACGCGCGTTTCGTCTACAAAAGACTCGCAAGTAATGCTCGACTAAAAAAAGTTTAAAACTTGCACCATATTCTGCAATGTAACTTGCAAAACCACAAACACTGGGCATCTTTTACAATGTAAATGTGGTATGCAGTACATTGGTGAGTCAGAACAGTCATTTCACTAACTTATAAATGGCATTGGTATTGACTATGACTGTAAGCCAGACTCTCTAATCTATTTGAGATCTCCTGATTACATAAAGTGAAACTTGAGCTAAATGAAAACTAGCATCAGTTTTTTACCCCCAACACGATGCATGGAAAGAGACATGCTAACGGGATGGATTTTGGATTAGGAAGTTAACTGCATAGGCACCAGATGGAATCAATGAGGAGGGGTAATTCGCATTGTGTAGTACAAACTACAGAATGATGTTGAATGTATAAATACACAGTCACGGAATGTTTATTTACAGACTTCTTATTAATTAGAAATAAAATTATTGACATTCAAGAGGAATTTTAGTAATAACATTCACGGTTCAATTTTTTATGTACCAGAAGAGCATTTTGACAATAAATGTATCTTCTGTGGTGCTCAAGGTTAAAATATTTGAAATTCCTAAACCTAACACAAACATTAAAGAACTGACAAAACTCAAATGGAGAGAATCTAATATTTTCTTATATGTATTATGACATATATTAAATATATTCACTAAAGCTATAATATTATGGAACAAAAAAAACATATATGATGTCAGAATTCACCAACATCTTAACAATTCATGTAAATTGCTAAACTTCGAACCTCAGTTTCGGATACAAATATAATTGTTATAGCAATCGGCGTAAGTTCTTCAAAGGAAATAAAGAAACAGAAAGCAATTGAAGCAGGAAATATCATTTTATGCAGATTTAGTTGTTTGTCTAAATATGAATCCATTGTTTTATTTTACAGAGGAAATATAATAGGACAGATGCCATATACTCATGGTAAACCATGTAGTACTTGTAAACAGGGATATACATGTAGCCGAAAACTTTGTGGCAGTATGTATATTTTTTTGTGTTGAATTTCATTTTTTTTGCCAAATAACATATCAAATAAATACAAATATAATTTTACGTTTTTTTTTAATCAAGATCACTAGCATTTAAGCTCTCGAGTTTGCTGATAATTGTCATGTGCATTGTATATTTCTATGGCTAATATAATGCCTCCTTGGAACGATAAGTGACTAAACCATTTGTAGTTAGCAAGATATCATTTGGAGGAGAAGTAAGGTAGAACAAACTCAGTCTCAAGTTAATCACACCACTTTGATCTTTTAGTTACAATATACAACAAATTGTAGAAATTAAAATTAAACAGAATTATAGTCCTGAACGAGATCCAGTGGCGGATCCAGAAATTTTCATTAGTGGGGGCCCACTGACTGCCTAAGAGGGGGCCCGCCCCAGTCATGCTTCAGTGATTCCTTTAATAATCAACCAAATTTTTCCCACAAAAGGGGGGACCCGGGCCGCCTGGGCCCCCCTCTAAATCCGCCTCTGAGATCGAGGAGATTTTAAAGCAACTAGTTTTTATCAAGTGTAATAATGAACGATAGAATTCCAAATACTAGTCTCGTTATTCCTTGTTTATTGAGAATGTAGATTGTGTAAACTATCATACATGTGTGACATGTTATTTATCTTTTTTTTATTATAGAAAGTTAATATGTTCAAGCTACCGCATTTATGTGTTTGAGTCTTTAATATAATGTATTCTATTCAAAGTATACCCTTAAAGCAAATTTTACATATATATTCTATATTGCACATTGATAAATAACTTGAACATACTCAGTTATGACACTTCTACTAGTTTTACAGTTAATGGTTTAAATAGGTTTTTTAGAATCGTCTGCGAGCTCGTTGAAAAACGGTTTGTGAATAAATAAAAGTGTTTAATTTCTTATAACTAGTATTTTTCCTGATTGACTCAGTCGTCGATAAATCATCATGTATTTACATGAATGCAAAAACATTGGCAAACAAAACAAAACGAGCACATACAGAAACATATAAGTAACTAAAAAGTAAACAAAAGTTTTGGAAAACTACGTATGTGCGTATTTCTTGTCCCTTTAAAAAAACATCTGTCTTATGAACACCATCGTATTTGTTTTTTTTTTTTTTATCTGCTCATGACATCAGAACCTAAAAATGCATCATTTTAGACGTTTTAATGGTATACGAACATAAGATATCGATTTTTACATCTTTGAATATCAGGCGAGTTAACATTAGAATTCCAAACAATTTCTACTACACAAAATGTAGCTGTAATTTCTGAGCCATGTTAGCTAGGAATTAAGATGCATTAATATTTAAACGTATCTTGTTTTTCATTATAGAAGGAGCAGTGGCAGGACGGTATATGCCTCATAATAATCCACGTCCAGTACCTCCTAATAATCCTCGACCAAAACCAACACCTAGAGTTAACCGTAAGTATAAATGTGTATTACTGTTTAGTCAAGGTGAAGGATAGACGTAATGCACATGTTAATATTTGGTAATACACATGTTGATATTGGGAAATGCACATGATAATTTTGAGCAATGCACAGTTGGTAATGCACATGTCAATACAATGATGTGTCAGGCAAAAATAGATAATGCACATGTCAATTCGATGATGTGCAAGGCAAAAATAGATAATGCACATGTCAAAAAGGGCGATTATTTTGTTTATAATAGACATAATGCACATATCAATAATTGTAACGTATTGATAATAGTCAATACCTAAAAAGTTTTATGGCAATAGGTAATGCATTTATAGATTGAACGACTAATAGTAGTGATATAACCTACATATATAAGTCACTCTCTTTTTTTCTAAAGACTGAAATAAGTACATGATCCAATAAATCAACAGGTTAAGCATCAACTGCTGTAATGGTTTCATTGTTAGCACAATATTTTATTATTTGTAACTGAATAAGTCAACTTGGAATAAGACATATTGTATATAATAGTTAAATAAAAAGTAATAAAGATTGCAAACGTAAACGCTGTAACCCAAACAACTTCCATGTGAGATTTTTTTTTTTATTAATATCGTACAATATTTTACCACAAACAAGGGGCACCACCACATCCAATACAACTCAGACAACACACCTCTCATTCAGCTCGCCCTCAAGCAAACAGACATAAATCAGGTCCAAACGCTCCACCACCTCCTGCGTACAGATACCAACCAGCGGCAAATCAACCACCAAGAACAGCGGCTAATCAACCACCAAGACCAGCAGCTCATCCTCCCCGACAACCAGCTCATCCTCCACGGCAACAACTGCATCCTCCAAGACAACCAGCTCCTCATAATACTAGAGCACCTGTTCGTCAATATCAGGCACAACCAATGCAACAATCATATCCAAGTAATTCACCGCACTATAATATATCTAGTGCATGTATCATATAATCTTTATATTATCCTACATCACTTTTTCTCTCCTATTCAGACTATTAGCTCACCTGACCAAAATGGCTAGCTCAGCTGTCGTTCGTTGTCTAAGCGTTTTGCTTATACATATTCTTACCTGAAACCACCCAGCTAAAATTAACTAAATTTGATGAGAAGTTAGTTCATTTGGTTTCGACCGGATGAAAACAGTCATGACCACCAGACGCAATCGTCGATTCTTATTGGCTTATTTTCAAAACTCTTCCAACCCGAAACAACAAGGCGAAATGATTGAAACTTTAGGGAAATGATGATTAGAGGACTCTCTACAAACGATCCTCAATTATATTGGTTGGGTGACGAACATGACTGCATAAATAGCGCATAGTTCCCATTGAAACTTATGGAAAATCATATTCTATCTTCTTCTCTGAAATTATTTAACAAATATTTACAAAAATTTACGGGCATGATGCACGGAGGGTCGTCTACAAATGATTCTCATTTTCGTTGATAGAATGGAAAACGAGGTCGCCAGAGGCAATCTGATTGGGCAATTATAAAACGCAACTTCTGTGAAATTACAGGTTAAAATGTTTTGAAACTTTACAGGAATTATAACTTGAGGAACCTCATTTAATGAACATGTCGCTATAATGTTAACATAAAGTTCCTTTGGAAAATCAGGTTTTCATCTTCTCTTAGACAGCAGGGACAGCATAAATCAAACTTAACAGGGAAAGTATATGGAAGGTTGTTTACAAATAACTCTCGTTTGGTTACAAAATGTAAAATTATGAAAAATAATTGTGACATTTGCTTTCTTGGAACTGTAGGGAATTGGACGTTCATAAACCTGTTAAAACGGACATGAATATTTCTTGGTTACAATGGACAGTACTAATTTTAAACCCGTTAAAACGGACATGAATATTTCTTGGTTACAATGGACAGTACTAGTTTTAAACCTGTTAAAACGGACATGAATATTTCTTGGTTACAATGGACAGTACTAATTTTAAACCTGTTAAAACGGACATGAATATTTCTTGGTTACAATGGACAGTACTAATTTTAAACCTGTTAAAACGGACATGAATATAACTTGGTTACAAGGGACAGTTCTTATTTTAAACCTGTTAAAACGGACATGAATATTTCTTGGTTACAAGGGACAGTACTAATTTTAAACCTGTTAAAACGGACATGAATATTTCTTGGTTACAATGGACAGTACTAATTTTAAACCTGTTAAAACGGACATGAATATAACTTGGTTACAAGGGACAGTTCTTATTTTAAACCTGTTAAAACGGACATGAATATTTCTTGGTTACAAGGGACAGTACTAATTTTAAACGACATGAATATTTCTTGGTTACAAGGGACAGTACTAATTTTAAATCTGTGAAAGCGGACATGAATATTTCTTGGTTACAATGGACAGTACTAATTTTAAACCTGTTAAAACGGACATGAATATTTCTTGGTTACAAGGGACAGTACTAATTTTAAATCTGTGAAAGCGGACATGAATATTTCTTGGTTACAATGGACAGTACTAATTTTAAACCTGTTAAAACGGACATGAATATTTCTTGGTTACAAGGGACAGTACTAATTTTAAATCTGTGAAAGCGGACATGAATATTTCTTGGTTACAATGGACAGTACTAATTTTAAACCTGTTAAAACGGACATGAATATTTCTTGGTTACAAGGGACAGTACTAATTTTAAATCTGTGAAAGCGGACATGAATATTTCTTGGTTACAATGGACAGTACTAATTTTAAAACAGAACAAATAACATCTGCATGCAATATGAAGGCCATAGAGTAAATATGCGTTATGATAAAAATACATGGTCTTCACTATTCTCTATACTCTATACTCTGCAAGTAGTTATACCCACATTGTGCAGAAAGATAGTAGTTCATCATGAGTGGTAATGTTGGTACAAATCCAAAGTTCCACGACAACACTAACACTACAAAGCCAAGTTTGACATACGAATCTTTTTTAAAATTTTTTTATTCAAATAAACTACCCGTAAATCGCAGATGTATGGTATGTGATGTAAACTTCTAACACTCGTACTTGCAATTTTGTGAAAAAATTCAAATCATCAGCTAAACAATAATGTAATTACCATAGTAGTCCGAACTTAATAAAGGCAGATGGTAAGATGATATCAGAAATACACCGTTCACAATCATTTCAAGATTGAAATCTTGTCAACTTTGTATATACTAAAAGGTACGCTAAAATGGGGACTTCCGGTGTGTAAGATAGGTTATGTTGCACCCTTAATAACTTACTAGCATCTAACATCATGGAGTTACTAACAATAATATTTAGGGACATATGCAAATATCTTGGACATTTTAACATTTTAACTAAAAATATTATTAACAGTTAGGTTTGATGTAATCCTTTAATGTACTTCCAAAGAATTTTGTATATTTATTTTAAAAAGTCATGAACTACTTTTTTCTATGATAATTCTAAAAAACTGATATAGCAATAAAGCTTCAAATCCCGAAAATTGGCTGGGGTATAGAAATAAGAACGTACCTATTGGATTTATTGTTGATATGTGCTCATCATGAACTTGGATGAAATATTTGCCACTGGACGTTAAGCAAACAACAAGCACTCATTAAAGCTACTGACAACAATGAACTATAGTCATCTTTGTTTTGTTAGTCTTTCAGATTTATTAATTTATCAACATTACAAGAGTTTCGAAATGTGTTAAGTTAATTTCATTCCAAAAGTAGTTTTAACCATTCAGAATTAAAAAAGGTGAAATTGTTTACATGTTTAAGAAATTTATAAATTTGCTTCTTGTTCACAAACAACTGCCATTTCACATTTATTCATTAAAAGAAGTGAAATGAAAGCACATAAAGTTATGTTTCCTAATTATTGTTGTTTTAATAATAGGTATTTTGTTTTTACTTATTAGGTCAAAAACGAGCAAACCCGCCTCAGCCACAACCACAAGCAACCGCTCAAGTTCAATATATATCGGGGAAAGTCCTAACTGGTTAAGTACATTTATAATTGAACTTTTTAAGTACAACTAAAAACTTTTTTGTATTTCAATATCACTCTTTGTATTGATCAGGACAACTGTTTGTGAAAAACCTAGATCAACACAATGAAAAATACTTGATATATTTTATAAACTGTCATCCCCGCTATATAATAAATCTTTTCAACGAGTCAGCTGTTTCTTTTCTGAAATAGAAACTGCAAAAATGTGGAAAAATGTTATAAGATTGGACAAAACATAAATATGACATCCATCCAACAACACAAGAACATCAAAACTAAATAACTATCATTATACTGATCGTTAACCAATAATTTTTCTTGTTTGTTCATACATGACGTGGGTTAACATACATATAATACCTTTATAGGTTGGATGCCAGTAAAGACACCACCAAGATCTCAACAAATATCACACAACAATCAAACAAGCTTTCCTCCACTATCAAATCCTGGTATGGATAATTATATTTCTAAAAATAGTTTTGTACTGCTATTATATTTTGTTTTAATACTCATAAAAACTTCTCATCAGCTTTTGGATCCTAACTTAAAATTCTTGAAAGGTAAATTTTTTAGATTGTCTTCTATATCTTTATTACTTGGTTGTTTTTGTTCAGTCCTTAACATTTGGCAGTGTTTGTCACTGACAAAAGAAGAAAAAAAAGAACACAATAAAACCTTATCTGTGGTGGGTTATTAGAAAGAATGACTAGTTTCCACTGAGTTTAAAAACGATAGGTAAATGTATATTTGATTGGTTTAGGCTATCTCACAAGACATTGAACAAAACATTGTACTCTTGTCTGAACATTATGTCTCAGTATTACGCATTTCATAAATGTTTCAAAGCTTTTAACAAAGCAAAATAAGTGTCAATATCGTGCTAATGTAGTATGGGAGTCTTCCGCCATCTTGGATTGTAAAATAGCAAAATACAATCGATCTAGATTTTTAATCAAGTCAGCAAATTTCGATGCAGGAATGCAATTTACTAAAACAAATGTTCATCTAAATGAACAAACATATGTAACTGTTTCTTATAATAACTAATATTTTTCAAAGATATATCATTTTTGCTTGTTTTAATTAATTTTTTTTAATTGACATATGAAGGGGAGGTAGCTCAGCATTATATTATTTATAAAGGAATCCACAGGAAATGTTTCTACTTCATCATGTTATAGCAGGGAAAAACGAATAGTGATCCCACTTTTTAGTTTAATATTATAAAAGCGTTTTGTAAGAGCTCTCTTCTCATATTTTATTTCAAAATTCTATCATTTAGTTTACCTTCTATTCACATTATGATGTTGTTTTCTCTGTATGATTATGCACATTGTGTCATTTTTAGTATATGTTTTTTTAACATATCAAAATGTATGCTACATTTTGGCAGAGTATGAAAAATTTTATCATGTTTCGTGTATGCTCCCGTTCTACTTTTAGCTTATTTTAGGCGTATAACTAAAGCAAGATAAAACAATGTCATAAAATACGCATCCCAAAATAAAATATCTAACTTTTTACCGATTTGCGTGTGTTTGGTTTAAATTTTGAGAAATTACCTATGCAAAGAGAAGCAGCGTCCAAGATAAATATTGATCCATATTTTAACAGTCTTAAAAGTTGTGTGAAGATATGTTGAGGCAGGTTGAGGTGACGAAATCTTAAAAAAATGCGATTTTACATTTTTCGTCAGTTTTAGTTGTTTAAAGTGATATTAGTGGGACAAAGCGACATAACTCAGATCTATATTGATAAAAACTGTATGTGTTTTAGCACGGTGGTTGCTATTCTCTTTGTTACAGGTAACCAATACAAAAATTATAATTTGGATGCAATTTATGATATTCACACTCTTTGTAAAGGAACAGAACGATATATTTTGAATAGTCAATATGAATTTCTGATGCAGTATGCTATTTATTAACAGGATTTTGCTAAACCTTTTTGAACCTTTTAAAAAGAATTAATTATTGATACACTATTTATTTCATGTTATTATAAATTCAAGAGAGTGTGAGAAATTGTATGTACCTGAATATACTCTTTTCCGGAAGATAAAAGAAACTATTGGAATAAGACATTCATTTTACTTACCTCAGCCGATACCCTCTGTAAATATGAATTTTGTTGGGTGAACGCAAATCTTCATATCTGCTAAGCCACAAGGGAAATAAGAAGTGACCAAGAATAAATCTGCTTTGACTATCAAATGCTTTTCAGTTTCTAGACATAGTATTTATTTACAATAGAAGATAGGCGAACGATACCTAAGGGTCGTTCAAACTCATAAGTTGAAAATAAGCTGACAACCCACCATTGCTAAAAAGGAAAAAGATAAACAGACAAACAATAGTACACAAAACACAACAAGGAAAACTAAAGACTGAGCAACACGAACCCCACCAAAAAAATGGGGGATATCAGGTGCTCCGGAAGGGTAAGCAGATTCTGTCTTAATTTATATACACAATTTATTATTTAACATGTACGGTTCTGTATTTCTGCAACTTCACGAAGAGCATTTTATATTATTTTTCTGCTTTATCAATATAATTGCTTCTAGCTTTTTTTTATGTTTTTAGTTTTGTCTGGAAATACAATAATCAAAAGTGTTAAACCTATACCAACAAAACGACGACAAGAGCAAAATCCCTATTCAGGTGGGCGTTCGGCACCCTCATCTCAGAGTAATGGAGTTCAATATCCTCAACCATCACCTGTCAAACACCAACAACAATATTCTGTTCAACAGCCAATACAACAGCAGCCGCAAATTCAACATCAACCAAAACCTTCACCTCATCAGCAAACACATTTTAAATACCAACAACCACAATTACACCCCCCTGTTCCTGTTAACACGCAACAATTATCGGTACACCAAGCTCCTAAGCGATATGAACAGCAACAACAGCCTCAGCAGCAAGTAGCTCAGCCAGCACCTCAACCTTATAGACAGCCACAACAATCACAACACGTACCAGTACAACAGCCTCATCAAATAGTCCAGTCAGCACCACAACCATATAGACAGCCGCAACAATCACAGCACGTACCGGTTCCACAACCTCAGCAAGCAGTCCAGTCAGCACCACAACCATATAAACATACACAACAGTATCCCAAAGGAGTCCAGCAACAATACAGACCGCAACCTAACACTAATCAAAGACCAACTGCTTATGCTCCTCAACAATATCAAAATCCTTATTCCGTAAATACCTCCAATCATATCCCAAATGATCAACGAGGATCTGTGCAGCCATACCCACAGAATGGTTATCAGGCTCAAGGTAAATGAAAATAATTAAAATTGCCACTTTCATTAAAAAAAATGTTTTGATAGAATTACCGAAAAGTAATAAAACATACGTATCATTTCGAAACTCTTAATAATCATGAATCATAATTTTGTTTCTTACAACATTCTGTTAAATCCAAATACAAAGTAAGAAATAGCAGTAAGTTTAATATTTGTTCGTCAGATAAAAATATTTTAAAATTATTACTATTAAAATTTTCTAATTTCATATCATAGGCCAACCGTACCATCAATATCAAGGACAGAGGTCTCCTCCACAAGCTCCAGCACCAGCGTATCCTCAGTATCAAGAACAAAGACGTCCACAACCTGTACATGTCTTTGTTGGTAAATACATTTATGGCTAAAAATATCCTTCTGTTTATATCAAAAAATATTTTCACATATTATTCATTTCGATTTTATATCGTGTGATAAAAGATTCTATCTGTCTATTCCACTTTTTGTGCGGGTACCAAAAGGCCCTCATCCAGTCTTTTCCTATGATAAAGATATTAATTTAATATCGTGGTGCACTACAAGTCTCTCTGGACATCACAAGCCCTGTCGCAAGTCCTTCCTATAAGCATGATATCATTTTGATATTGTGGTGGATTACAAGTCTCTCTGGATATCATAAGTCATAATGGCAAGTCCTTACTATAGGCATGATATTACTTTGATATTGTGGTGGACTAAAAGTCTCTTCCTATACACATGATATTACTTTGATATTGTGGTGGACTAAAAGTCTCTCTGGATATCAAAAGCCATGTGGCAAGTCCTTACTTTAGGCATGATATTACTTTGATATTGTGGTGGACTACAAGTCTCTCTGGACATCACAAGCCCTGTCGCAAGTCCTTCCTATAAGCATGATATCATTTTGATATTGTGGTGGATTACAAGTCTTTCTGGAAATCAAAAGCCATGATGGCAAGTCCTTACTATAGGCATGATATAACTTTGATATTGTGGTGGACTACAAGTCTCTGGACATCACAAGCCATAATGGCAAGTCGTTCCTATAGAAAATTTTACTTTGATATTGTGGTGTACTACAAGTCTCTCTGGATATCACAAGCCATAATAGCAATTCCTTACTATAGGCAAGATATTACTTTGATATTGTTGTGTACTACAAGTCCTTTCTGGACATCGCAAGCCTCATGACAAGTCCTTACTGTAGGGAAGATATTATTTTGACATTGTTGTGTATTACAAGTCCTTCTGGACATCGCAAGACTCATGACAAGTCCTTACTGTAGGCAAGATATTACTTTGATATTGTGGTGGGCGGCTACAAATCCCTCTTGATATCATAAGCCCTGACGCAAGTCCTTATTATAAGCAAGATATTACTTTGATATTGTGGTGGACTACAAGTATCTCTGGTCATCACAAACCCTGTCGCAAGTCCTTCCTATAAGCATGATATAATTTTGATATTGTGGTGGATTACAAGTCTCTCTGGATATCAAAAGCCATAACGGCAAGTCCTTACTATAAGCATGATATTACTTTGATATTGTGGTGGACTAAAAGTCTCTTCCTATACATATGATATTACTTTGATATTGTGGTGGACTAAAAGTTTCTTCCTATACACATGATCTTACTTTGATATTGTGGTGGACTAAAAGTCTCTCTGGATATCAAAAGCCATGTGGCAAGTCCTTACTTTAGGCATGATATTACTTTAATATTGTGTTGGACTACAAGTCTCTCTGGACATCACAAGCCATAATAGAAAGTTCTTCCTTTAAGCATGAAATTACTTTGATATTGTGGTAGACTACAAGTCTCTCTGGACATCACAAACCATAATGGCAAGTCCTTCCTATAAGCATGATATTACTTTGATATTGTGGTGGGCTTCAAATCCCTCTGGATATCAAAAGCCCTGACGCAAGTCCTTATTATAGACATGATATTACTTTGATATTGTGGTGGACTACAAGTCTCTCTGGACATCACAAGCCCTGTCGCAAGTCCTTCCTATAAGCATGATATTACTTTGATATTGTGGTGGGCTTCAAATCCCTCTGGATATCAAAAGCTCTGACGCAAATCCTTATTATAGGCATGATATTACTTTGATAGTGTGGTGGACTAAAAGTCTCTTCCTATACACATGATATTACCTTGATATTGTGGTGGACTAAAAGTCTCTCTGGATATCAAAAGCCATGTGGCAAATCCTTACTTTAGGCATGATATTACTTTGATATTGTGGTGTACTACAAGTCTCTCTGGACATCACAAGCCATAATAGAAAGTCCTTCCTATAAGCATGAAATTACTTTGATATTGTGGTAGACTACAAGTCTCTCTGGACATCACAAGCCATAATGGCAAGTCCTTCCTATAAGCATGATATTATTTTGATATTGTGATGGACTACAAGTCTATCTGGATATCAAAAGTCATGTATCAAGTCTTTACTATTAACATGCTATAACTTTGATATTGTGGTGTACTACAAGTCCATATGGAAATCACAAGCCCTATTACAAGTCCTTACTTTAGGCAAGATATTACTTTGAAATTGTGTTGTACTACAAGTCTCTCTGGACATCACAAGCCATAATAGCAAGTCCTTACATAGGCAAGATATTACTTTGATATTGTTGTGTACTACAAGTCCTTCTGGACATCGCAAGTCTCATGACAAGTCCTTACTATAGGCAAGATATCACTTTGATACTGTTGTGTACTACAAGTCCTTCTGGACATCGCAAGCCTCATGACAAGTCCTTACTGTAGGCAAGATATTACTTTGATATTGTTGCGCACTACAAGTCCTTCTGGACATCGCAAGCCTCATGACAAGTCCTTACTGTAGGCAAAATATTACTTTGATATTGTTGCGTACTACAAGTCCTTCTTGACATCGCAAGCATCATGACAAGTCCTTACTGTAGGCAAGATATTATTTTGTTATTGTTGTGTACTGCAAGTTCTTCTGGACATCGCAAGCCTCATGACAAGTCCTTACTGTAGGCAAGATATTACTTTGATATTGTGGTGGGCGGCAACAAATCCCTCTGGATAACAAAAGCCCTGACGCAAGTCCTTACTATAGGCAAGATATTACTTTGATATTGCTGTGTACTACAAGTCCTTCTGGACATTGCAAGCCTCATGACAAGTCCTTACTATAGGCAAGATATCACTTTGATATTGTTGTGTACTACAAGTCCTTCTTGACATCGCAAGCCTCATGACAAGTCCTTACTGTAGGCAAGATAATACTTTGATATTGTTGCGTACTACAAGTCCTTCTGGACATCGCAAGCCTCATGACAAGTCCTTACTGTAGGCAAGATATTACTTTGATATTGTTGCGTACTACAAGTCCTTCTGGACATCGCAAGCCTCATGACAAGTCCTTACTGTAGGCAAGATATTATTTTGTTATTGTTGTGTACTGCAAGTTCTTCTAGACATCGCAAGCCTCATGACAAGTCCTTACTGTAGGCAAGATATTACTTTGATATTGTGGTGGGCGGCAACAAATCCCTCTGGATATCAAAAGCCCTGACGCAAGTCCTTATTATAGGCATGATATTACTTTGAAATTGTGGTGGACTACAAGTCTGTCTGGACATCACAAGCCCTGTCGCAAGTCCTTCCTATAAGCATGATATCATTTTGATATTGTGGTGGATTACAAGTCTCTCTGGATATCAAAAGCCCTGATGCAAGTCCTTGTTATAGGCATGATATTACTTTGATATTGTGGTGGACTACAAGTCTCTCTGTACATCACAAGCCCTAACGCAAGTCCTTCCTATCAGCATGATATCATTTTGATATTGTGGTGGATTACAAGTCTCTCTGGATATCAAAAGCCATAATGGCAAGTCCTTACTATAGGCATGATATTACTTTGATATTGTGGTGGACTAAAAGTCTCTTCCTATACACATGAAATTACTTTGATAGTGTGGTGGACTAAAAGTCTCTCTGGATATCAAAAGCCATGTGGCAAGTCCTTACTTTAGGCATGATATCATTTTGATATTGTGGTGGACTACAAGTCTCTCTGGATATCAAAAGCCATTATAGCAAGTTCTTACTATAAGCATGATATTACTTTGATATTTTGGTGGACTACAAGTCTCATTTGACATCACAAGCCATAATAGCAAGTTCTTCCTATAAGCATGATATTACTTTGATATTGTGGTGGACTACACGTCTCTCTGGACATCACAAGCCCTGTCGCAAGTCCTTCCTATAAGATGAAATCATTTTGATATTGTGGTGGACTACAAGTCCTTCTTGACATCGCAAGCATCATGACAAGTCCTTACTGTAGGCAAGATATTATTTTGTTATTGTTGTGTACTGCAAGTTCTTCTGGACATCGCAAGCCTCATGACAAGTCCTTACTGTAGGCAAGATATTACTTTGATATTGTGGTGGGCGGCAACAAATCCCTCTGGATAACAAAAGCCCTGACGCAAGTCCTTACTATAGGCAAGATATTACTTTGATATTGCTGTGTACTACAAGTCCTTCTGGACATTGCAAGCCTCATGACAAGTCCTTACTATAGGCAAGATATCACTTTGATATTGTTGTGTACTACAAGTCCTTCTTGACATCGCAAGCATCATGACAAGTCCTTACTGTAGGCAAGATATTATTTTGTTATTGTTGTGTACTGCAAGTTCTTCTGGACATCGCAAGCCTCATGACAAGTCCTTACTGTAGGCAAGATATTACTTTGATATTGTGGTGGGCGGCAACAAATCCCTCTGGATAACAAAAGCCCTGACGCAAGTCCTTACTATAGGCAAGATATTACTTTGATATTGCTGTGTACTACAAGTCCTTCTGGACATTGCAAGCCTCATGACAAGTCCTTACTATAGGCAAGATATCACTTTGATATTGTTGTGTACTACAAGTCCTTCTTGACATCGCAAGCCTCATGACAAGTCCTTACTGTAGGCAAGATAATACTTTGATATTGTTGCGTACTACAAGTCCTTCTGGACATCGCAAGCCTCATGACAAGTCCTTACTGTAGGCAAGATATTACTTTGATATTGTTGCGTACTACAAGTCCTTCTGGACATCGCAAGCCTCATGACAAGTCCTTACTGTAGGCAAGATATTATTTTGTTATTGTTGTGTACTGCAAGTTCTTCTAGACATCGCAAGCCTCATGACAAGTCCTTACTGTAGGCAAGATATTACTTTGATATTGTGGTGGGCGGCAACAAATCCCTCTGGATATCAAAAGCCCTGACGCAAGTCCTTATTATAGGCATGATATTACTTTGAAATTGTGGTGGACTACAAGTCTGTCTGGACATCACAAGCCCTGTCGCAAG